GGGAAAATAAAGAAACCTACAGCTGTTTTACCGGTTCGCGGAACAGAACATACGAACGAACCACTATTCCAGATAATGAATTTCCATCTTTCAGGAAAACAAATAGGCCTATAAACATGTTGCCCACGTAAACAAATGTATAATAAGAAATAAAGACGTCTCTTTTTCTCCAACCATATGAGACATACACTTGTAAGGTTATCCTATTTATACCTGCTTAACTTTTACGACTTAACTACAAAATGAGAGAGACTGTAACTTATTAGGACAGCAGTCCAACGCTTTGTAACCAAATTATAACCTACTCGAGCCGAAGTTTTCTTATCCATGGTTCCATGAACCTAATAAGTAACCATACGTCACAACGATTCGTGTGATAATGAGAGGCAACATTCTGGATAACTCGCTTTTCAAGGGAAATAAACGTTTTGACTTGCCCATCGATTTATGCATACACTACCGTTCAATAAATAGAAACAGGTCTACAATAACAACTCTGTTCTGGGCTAAGAAATGCAAGTACCATGAACAAGAATTCCTACCGTACTGTTTTCATTGTATAAAACCAAGCGCGTGCCATGTTCTGTCTGCACCAAGCCTAAACAGAATTGCTGAAAACATCGTTACGTTGAAAATGAGAACAGTCTTGTGTGGGTCACAAATGATGGTGTGCACCAAGCCTAAACAGAATTGCTGAAATCATCGTTACGCTGAAAATGAGAACAGTCTTGTGATGGTCACAAATGATGGTGCGTCCAAGGTCCTCAAAAGAGCTAGAGGATTAAGGGCCTACATTCTGCTAGGTAATTTATCTAAGATGGTATGACGGGACATAGTTTATTCATCTGGTCCAGAACAGACCCAACAGTGGGCCTTTGGGAATCCGGTAATGTAATGTCAGTTTCTAAAAAGGGGAGAAAACATTCAAAATTCCGTTAAAGGCCTTGAACCAGGGAACCTCAAGAAAGGGCGCTGTTAACACACGCAAAGAAATGCATGCTACTAATGACGCACACAATGCCTAACTAAACCTTTCTGCCAATGCTCTTACGTTATTCTTCTCAAGGCTGAGAATACGTACGACACAGCTTCTAGTCGTATTTAACGACACCGTATCAGCTACAGAGTATATACAGCATTAATTTAACAATTAAATGTGGTGATTAAGAGAAGCAAAATGGTCGTGGTGACGCCTAAATTCCATGAATATACACACAGAGCTGACAATTCCCTAACCGAGACCCCGATACATAAGAATAATTCACTTTATTTACAGTTAATCCTGCACAGACACACACAAAAGTACAGTCACAGACACTTTCGAATGGCACGTATAAAGTGCTCACTACATGGGGCGACCAGAATTCGATCCCCGGCAAGAGTAAAATATTTTTCTTCTAGTCGCTGCGTCCAAACTGGCTCTGAGGTTCACCCAGCCTTCTACCCAACAGGTATTGGGGGGGTCCTTCTCCCAGGGGTACAGCGTAACCGAGGCGTGACGCTGACCACTCGCCCCCCTCTAGCGCACAGGTCAAGAACAAGTAGGAGCTTTTTCTTTCCGCCCCCCTCAAGCGCCTTCATGGCGTTCATAGAGGGCAGCTTTACCGACAAACTTCTTCTCGCCGCAAACATGTCCTCACACACAACGACTAACCCTATGAAAGAGTCCTCTTTGAAATCTAACAGTTACTACCTTCAATCTCTGTTAAAATCTGAAAGACCAAGTTTCACACCCATACAAAATAAACTAACTCCATGGAACAAATTCCTTCTCGTGAAGCTGTTAGTCACTCATCTACTCAAGCAATTCCCAACTTTTTGTGAAGTCTTAAGGTTCATTGTATATACAAAGGCCCACCCCTCTTCTGAGGGGAAATAAAAAAACACCCGGAGCAGAACAGAGCATTCAAAAAGGCAATAAGCCGAAGTATTCCACCAATTAATCATCATCATTACAAATATTCTTTGTAGAGGAACGTCCCCCGGCTTTAAGTTTATACCACTGAATTGTGAGACGAAATGACAACTTTGAATCTGATCAGTGGACTGCATCACGAAAGGGGGCAGGGAATACATTCCACTCCAAATGTTTACTA